AATGTTAAATGTTGCATCAAGTGGTATTGCCTCTTTACTTTTGCCGAGAGGTAAAACTGCACACTCGCGGTTCTCTATCCCTTTAAATCTAGATGAGAGCAGCACCTGCAGTATTAAGGAAGGGGGTTCATAAGCTGAATTGATAAGACATTGTAAACTTATTATCTGGGATGAAACACCAATGACCCATAAAAATGGTTTCAAAGCATTAGATAGAAGATTAAGCGATATTATGCATCCGATTAATGAAGAAAGTGGTGACCAACCTTTTAGGGGGAAGACGATTGTGTTTAGAGGGAATTTTCGTCAAATCTTACCGATAATTCCCAAGGGAAGTAGACAAGACATTGTCAATGCTACGATCAACTTTTCATACATCTAACAACACTGCATAGTTCTGCGTTTAACGGAGAATATAAGATTACAATTTATGATGCATGAAAATAACTATGATTCTTTGGTTGAATTTACAGATTGGATTGCAGATATTGGTGATGGAAATGCCAGTGAACCAAATGATGGATGTGCTAAAGTAGTTATTCCAGATGACATGCTTTTAAGGTACTCAAGCGATCCAATTGATGCAATTGTGCATGCCACATCCCCAAACTTTATAACATTGTTAATGATCCAACCTACTTGCAAGAGAGAGCCATTCTTACACCGACATTAGATGTTGTTAATGCAATTAATGATTACATGACATCAATGAATGTAAGCGATGATTCTAAAACATACCTAAGCTCTGATAGCATCTGTAAGTCAGACTCAAATGTGGATGTTCTGGCGGATTCACATTCACCGAAGTTTTTGAATAACATCAAGCTTCTAAAGTCTCAAACCAAGAGCTTATATTAAAGGTTAGTACTTATAATGTTGCTGAGTATTGATCAATCCATGAATTTGTGCAACAGAAAAAATTAATTGTGACTCAGTTAGGAAATCATTTGATCCAAAGAAAATTGATGACAGGAAAAAATGCCGATCATGAAGTTGTAATCCCTTAGCTTTCGCTAATTCCTTCGAACAATAATACCTTTCAAGTTTCAAAGGAAACAATTTCATGTCATGACTTCATATGTATGTTGATCTACTCTTAAAAAAATCGGTCTTCAGCCACGGTCAACTATATGTTATTGTTTCACGTGTCATAAATCAAGAGGGTTTGAAAATTTTGAGTTGCGACGAAGAAAATATTCCACTAGATTATACTTAGAATGTTATTTATAAAGAAGTTTTTCAGAATTTGTAATTATATACGAATATGTACTCCTTCGTCCCAATTTATAGTGTCTGTTTCGGTTTACGATGTTTAATTGAAATTATTTTCAAATTATTTTATATGACAAATATTATAGAATTAAAAAATAAAAATAACATATTAAAATACTACATCAAAAGATCTACAAAACTATTAGTGACAATAATACTTTATTTTATCAAATTGCTTATAAAAATAAAGAAAGAAGAGTAATTTCCATAATTGGTCCTTTATAACAGGGGGGTTTCCATATTTAGTCCTATATTATCAAATATTACCCTCATAGTCCTTTTTTTAAGGGTCTCTTTCCACAAATAGTCCTTTTTTTGATCTTCTATCATGTTGGAGTTAATTTGAGGGCTAAAAGTATAATTTCACAATGATAATATATCTTTTTTGTCTACACAATTCCAAAGGTTGTTCCGTTTGCATCGTTTGTGAATTACATTTGCTTTCTACTACAACCATAGTCTACAAATGTGGTCTTCCGTCGGAATCTAAGCCCACAATCATAGGAATTTTATGAATTTTAAAAATTTTGAAGTAGAAAGTTATTTTAAAAATTAAATAAAAATTTCAAAACCAAAAAAATTAAAAACGAAAATTCATCAAAAATAATCTCAACTTTCATTTTGTTGCACAAAACAAGTAATTCCGTTAACTCAACGTTAGTAACTTTACGGCGATCCAAAATTCGCAAATTTTAATAAAGTTGGATTATTATGCATCACAGTGAAAGCTGATATTATTTTTGAAATACGGGCAAGGTTGAGATTCCTATGGATATTTTTTAATATTATTTATTCTACTTTATTGTTGATGTTTGCACTTTGGTGCATTTAAAATCATATCAGAAATATATTGGCAGTCCCGATCTGGGTGAAGCGAAATTATGCATGCCCAGAGGGGTTTCATAGAATATATCCTTACTCGAAGAGTTATTTGGGTCCAGAAATTTTTCATGTTCTAATAAATATCAATTGCAAAGACATGTAGAAATAGAAACATGATCCCAAAGTCGATTACACGGTAAAATCTAGGCAATGGCACGAAGGAAGGGAGGTACTCTCATGGCTCAAAAGCAAGGGAATTAGAGAGGTACAAATTAGTTGAGATTGTTTTCGATCAGCTCGTGGCTTTTAAAAAAAAGGAGATCATGCTTCTTATCATTCTTATGTTGGCTCGACAATTGAGGAGTGTGTTTCGCTTTTATCGTTTGTGGTCACCTCTCGATTTTGTGGTGAGTCTATAGTGTTTTAATGAAATTTCTTATTCTTCAAAAAATTAGTATTAGAGTATGATTCTCTTTGAGAATAGCGTTAAACAGTAGAGTTATCATTTTGAAAAGACTATCTACAAACGGTGTTTGCCATTTGCGTTTTCAAAGTAATCTGCACCGTTGAAATTTTATCCAAAATATTAACACTAGTCTCTAACGGTATTCCCAAATACGCCCTATATAATGTTATCTTTGATCCAGTGCACTCGTGTGGATATTAGACTTTCTTGAGTCAAACTGGACGATTTTTAAACCTCAATTACATAAAAATTGTAATGTAAATTAGTATAAAATAATTTTATTAGATTTAATTTTAGATATTTTAAAAGTTTATTTCATGGTATTAACATGTAATACAAATAGAGAGTAATTGATTACTAGAGCTTCTCCGGTTTGACTTGAAAAAAATCAAATTAGACGAATACACTGAGACAAGGACCATTGGACCCATTGGTTGTACAACTCAATTGAAACAAAAAATTGTGGTGTTCAATTAAGTTTAGTCCAAAGGGATGCCAATGTTGGAGAAATTAATGAAAACGTGGATGAATCGAGAGTCGTGTAGAACACTTTCAGATTGAATATATTTTGGTTGTTCGATCCAAAATTCAATCGGATAAAACTCGAAAGTCTCAAGAACGAAATATGGAATGCTATGAAATTTCCGAACGCGTTCTAACCATGGACTTGCGAGAATTTATGGAGTTGCGATGAGAAGAGGAGACGCGATCGCGTCTCTTACCCAAGACACGCGATCCTTTGCGCGGAACTCTCCAAAAATCGGTGCTATCCTTTAGGGAATTTTCTTTTTAAAGAAAATTCAAAAAATAAAATTCAATTGAATTTTTTAACATAGCACTTTGTCCAAAATAAAAAATTCTCTGCCCCATGGAACCCGCAGGAGCTACCGCTCCTTGAACCCTGCTCGGGGGCGCTGCCCCCCGAACCCTCGCCAAGGGGGTGCTGCCCCCTTGGAACCCCCGATATAACGTGATTTTTATTGTAACAAACTCAATGAAGCGTGCACTCCGCACCACCAAACTTATTTGGTGATTATTAGGATACCATTGGTCATAGTTTTTCCAATTACACTAATATATATAATAGCCAAGACGCAGCGGATCTACAACTATGGACGACAACATTCCTTCTAAACTATTGGTTCAATTTTGCTCTTTTGAGGCTAACATTGGACAAATAATAATGTTTAAAATAAAATAAAAACTATTACCATACATATATATGCTGTCCATAAGTGAATTATTTTATTAAATAAAAATTTTATATATATATATATATATATATATATATGTATGTATGTGTATATATATATATATATATATATATATATATATATATTTAAATAGATGGGTGTTTTATTAAAGGGAATAAGAAAGAGGTTACAAACAAGAGCGGGTGGGATAAAACAAGTTTCCCAGCCAAAGTACGACAATGATGCTTCAATAGAGAAAACTAGGGGAATATTCTTCTACGAATAGAAGACTGAAGACCTATAGTTCTCATATCTTCATCTATAATCATCCATTTCTTTCCACGATGTGCCCAACACCACTGTTGAATCGTTGTCATAATGTTAAATATGATCTTGCTTTCCTTAAACGCCTCTCCTTCGTATTTCTCTACATTATATGCTTTCCACAGGCCCCACACAATGAATCCTGGGAGGTTGGCAGTGAGCTTCTCCCACATGTTGGTTATACAAGTGACTAGCCACCAGTTCATACATACTTCCTGTATTGTGGAGTTTCCTGCATTATATATATATATATATATATATATATATATATATATATATATATATGTATGTGTGTATATATGTATGTATGTATGTATGTATGTATGTATGTATGTATGTATGTATGTATGTATGTATACTCAAAAAAGGATTTTATTGGACAAATGAAAAATACAATAGGTGGGAGTGGCCCGTCCCCAAAAAGCTGGCCAAAGCATCGTAACAAGGCACTTAAAAAATGATTCAAACCAAAACAAAAGAAAAGAGTGCAAAGATGGTAACGTGAGACTGGCACCAAAGAACCCAGAGTTTGTTGTCTTGCTATTGGAATGCCTGCAACCTTATCTTCTAATTGAGTTTTATGGTCTGAAAAATTCATTTCCAGCCTTCAAGTGATCTAATCAATCACAACTTGTCCTTATTAGTTGCAGCATCCCAAAAATAGCATGATTAGTGCTGTAAAGTGATCTACTGCATCTCCTTGCTAGCTAGGACCCAAAAAATAAATGGCTATCCTTCATCAACATGAAGATCCCAGTCTCTAAGTTTAAATAGAACCACCAATCGTGAGTGCACACTAAACAAGAGCTTAAAGTTTTCAATCACCAATCCTACTGATGATCCTCAAAACCCAAAACTGCTCAAAACCCAAAAACAGCACCAAAGATAATAAATCAAACAAAACTGATGCCCAGGTCATCAACCCCTGGGTCAGTTTCCTTTGAAGGACCAAAACAACATAATCGAAGGACCAAGAAACTTAAAAAGATCCAGGCCCATGGAGTAATCCTAATCAATCCTGTTCTCCACATAAATGAGCTAGAACGACTTTCATATCTTCTTTCGCATAAGCAAGATACACCGGATACCTTGCACCTTCCATTGTTGCTGCATCAATATACTCAAAGCTTTTGATTGGCTCTCTTGTAACCCTAACGACTTCCTCTGAGTAATTGAGGATCTGTCCCTTATAGAGAGCATCCAAAAACTGTTTGCTAGCAATTGATTTTCTGAAGAGATTGATGTTATCCTTGATAACTTGATGAAATAGACTCAAACAGCCCTCGTCTAAAGGAACCTCTGCCAATGGTGTGTGCCTTTGCAAACTTTCCATCTCTTTCTCCATAGTGAGGTCAACAATTAGGCTACTTCTAATGTCAATCTGTTCTTCATCACTTCTAGCAGCAGAATCAACTCCATGATAACATCTCCACCCCTCATCCTTGCAAACTTTAACAGAACCAAGACCTTCTTGGAGAACATTTTGCAGTGGCTGTGGCATGTGAGTTCTTAATCCATTCGAGTTCCTCAATAATTCAGACAGACCCTTGCTGAAAAGTGTTAGCCCCTCTAAGAAAAAGCCAGCAGGAATGATAATCTGATTATGTGAAGACCCCGTTTTTGACACTAGGCATGCAAAATGTCCAACACGATTTGAATCCCAAGAAACTTTGACAGAGAAATCCCCTTCGTATCTAGATATTTCCCAATTTTCATTTGAAAAATCACGCCTGGTAATAGTATCGATCAACCAGTGTGCAATAGCCCAAGAGAATGTTAAGAATCGTGTTTTACCTGATTTGGATTCTGAAATTCTGATACACTGCTCTTCAGCTAAAAGTTCAAAGTCTTTGCTCTCTATTGAAAGTGTAACCAACTAACCATACCGTCTGCGCTGACATTTGGACCCGAGTTCCGGCGCCTCCAGTATCTTCGTCTCTCAGATTTCTTCCAAACCCTATTAGACTGGAGATTCGCTGAACGTGATTAGAGTGGCTCGCCATAGAATCCGGATCGGCCAAAATCCCTAACCTGTTGCGGGAGATGACCGCCGCCTTCCCCGCTCTCTCTAAAATCCCTAAACGCCATTCGTTATATATATATATATATATATATATATATATATATATATATATATATATATATATATATATATATATATATATATAACACACACACACACACATATATATATATGGCCTGGGGAAGAAGGAGGGATCGCAGCCCTCCACAAATCTGGCAATCTACAAAGTACCGAAGAGAGGTCGATTCTCCCGAGGTCACAGGGTGCAAAGGTCCTAATAAATCTCTTTCAATCCAAATTCAAACCAAAGTTTTTACTATCCTTCACTCTAGTTACAACAAAAATTTCTGTATTAGCGAAATTGGAAAGAGGAATTACAATATATGGTTTGATATTCATGGGCTAAATTGGATTCTTGAGCTTTTCCCCAAACTGAATCAGAGAAATTCATGGGCTATCACCCGTTTTGAAAAGCATCGAAAGATTACCATTTATCATGGTTCTAATAGTTGGGGAGGTTATCTCAGGATTCTTGAATCGAGAAGAGAAGGGAACACTTCCATTTTCGTTCCTACGGACAAAGGGGGTTTGGGGTGTTTCTTGGAGGCCATTGATGCTTTCATTGGTTCTTGTTCATTAGGGAACTCTTCTTTTCTTGTGGATTCTCCTAAGGCAGTGCAGGTTTTAGATGTTTCCTCCTCCTCAGGGCAAGGTAAGGCTGGACCTCTACCTCTGTTTGCAGGGGGTTCTAACAGTCCAGTGGACAAGGAAAAGATTGGTACTCCTCTGCAGCATGAAGATTCTCCAGGTGTAGAGCCAGCTAGAAACTTGCCACTTAGCCACGAAGAGCAACTGCTAATTGATGGGCTGCTTAGCCAAACTCCGAAGATGGAAGCTTCAAATTGGGAGGACTCTATACAACCGGAACTGGATCTCATGCTTATAGATGAAAAAGTGGAAGAATAGGCAGGAGGGGATTTTCAAAAACAGTATGAGATGCTTAAGCCCATTTTCGAACAACATATTAGCGATGACTTCGAGAACTCCCTTTGGATGATCAAGGAAGCATTACGTTCGCCCTTCATCAAGGAAAAGATTCAAAAGGGTCTTGTTTCAACTCTTCAGGGTAAGGCTTTAAAAGCGACAAGGGAGGCCATGAAGAGTGCGCAATGCATAAAGGCTATTAAGCTGAAAGGTACACGACATCCAGTTCTCCTAGCCTGCGCCAACATTGATGTACCGATCATAACGCCATTGTGTGAACATCTCATCGACTACGAATAAAAGGGAGGTATACCTGGGCTTCTTAACCTATTGTTTTTTCCACTGGATTTCTCTTGGGGAACTAGACAATTTTCTTGGGATGTATATTATCTTTCCCTAGAAGGGAGAATTGGTGTAAGGATTTTACTCACCAAGGACAGTTGTGATTTCTGCTGTTCATGTTATTTTGGCCTTACAAATGATTGGTGTCTAGCTTGGAGAGTTACTTATGTTTCATTTAAGGTGCATGTTGGGAAAAATATTATAGATTTTGATGATGATGTATTTAGATTGTAATAGGGACTTTAGGTCACCCCCAATATTCAATGTAATTTTTCTTTTTAGAAATATTGTTAAAACCGAGTTCTTGAGATTTCCAATAAAGTTGTGATATTTCACTCTGTGGTTTGATGTCAATCTTTGAAGACTTAATCAAATTCTGTGATATGGAAATTGGATATCTTGATCGGATATGTCAGAGACAAGTAAGGATTTCTCAAAGCAATTGAAGATCCTCTAATCCGGAACTCTACATGATAACCGGATGTCTCGCTACAACTCTCTGAAGGCTAAGTCATCCAAATTGGAAGACTAGCGCGGACCTCTTTCTCACCCGGAAGTCTGTGAATGACTCTTCCGGATTTGTCAGCGAAAGAACCGGATGCCTCAAGAAAAGACCGGAACTCTCAGAAGCGGACAAGTGAGAAAAGACTTAGAAAATTATCTAAGTCTTGAATGAAGAAATTCTACCCGTTGGTAAGGAAAAATCAACCTCTTGGTTTTCAACGGCTAGATTGAAGATAATTAAGATGATTCAAGAACAAATGACTTGAAGACAAAGTCTGGACCCCTCAAATTAAAGAGCTCGTCCAGAATTCTTAAACAAGCACTAGAAGACAAACTGAGTAAAGAGCTACAGTCCAGAATTCTTGAACAACAGCTAGAAGACGGATTCTGTGGAAAAAGGAATCCCTCCTCAAACAATTGGGTATGTCCAAACACCCATTCCAATGAGGAATCCTCAATCACAATCTTCATTCAAATTTGAAGCCAGCAAATGCAACGGATAGTCTATTTTGATTCAACGGATAAATTATCTAATCCAGCTATAAATAGCAACCTTGGAAGACTGGAGAAAGTACGATGAGATAGCAAGCAAGATTACAACAACGACAAACTACAACTATCTCATTCACAGTTAGCCAAAAAGCTTGATAAAGAGAGATTTCTAAACTCCTTATCCAGAAGCAAACTTCTCCTCCTTCCAAAGAGCTATAGTGTAAACACTTGAAGGTTTCCTTGCCTCAAGTACCACACCACGTTGAAGGATACATCTTTTAATCAAACTCTTTGATTAAAACGGGTGATATGCACATATTTTATACACTCTTTAGGGATATTTTGAAGGAGTATTGAGTCCCAATTGAATTTAATGTTTATATTTTATTTCAATTTTCCGTTTTATTTTGGAGAGCAGTCCTATGCTTGGTTTTATATGTTTTGCAGGTATTTTGAGGCCATTTGGACGCATTGAAAACAATTTTAAGAACGGAAAATAAACATGGAAGTTTGGGACCAAAATAAATGGAAGAGATTTGAAGGAAAGAAGGAATTAAACAAAAATAAAGCATAATCAGCCCTGGGATTCGAACTCTGGACGTGCGGCATGTGGAACCGGAGCATTGACCATCGCGCCGAAGCTGATTATTCACCATACCACTGGCGAACACGGGTAATGTTCTGAACTGAAAGTCGGCCATTGATTGAGAGAAAAAAATGACAAAACACCGACACTAGAGGGAATCAAACACGGGATCACGTGGCACAACAAGCATCCCCATTTCCATGTGCGCTACTGTGCTTGTATTGACTAAAGTGGGACTATTTGTATATACTCCGCATATACGAATTCATCTATAAAAACCCAACCCTTCTCTTCTTCAAGGAGGTTGGAACCCCCCATTTCTCTCCTCTCTCCAATCCGAAATTCTCCTCCTCCATCACTAATATCTCACCACTTTCTTCATCCAAACACATAAAAATTACTTCATCTTCATGATCATCTATCATATTTGGAGCTCAAGAACACATCTTCCATTTTGTAAGATTTTTATGTTTGTAATAAATATTTATTTGTTTAAGCTTCCAACTATGAACTTCTAAATTCCATTGGGGTTAGAAGTTGGTGTAATTAATTGTCCATCATAATGTTTTGAATATTTTTAACATGGATTGTTAATTTTATTTTTACTTAGATGTTGTATTTAAAAATAAATAAATTTGGAATGTTTGTGATTTTTAATTAAGGGCCCAATCATAAACATAATTGTTACAAGGAATATGAGCTTAAATTGATTTAATCATAAAATAGAACACTTTTTAAATACACCGTAAGTCTTCTCTACCTGTAACCGAGATTGAAGACTTTCGGGTGGACATAATTATTGAGTTTTTTTTACACCATTAAATTGGGTAAACATACAATAAAATAATTATGGTTGCCGTTGTTACTAAATAATTACTCCGGATTTATCATTAGCGTGTTAAAGTCGGAGTAGTTATTATTTAGGTGAACTGCGAGAGCGTCCCTAAATACTTTTCTATAACCCCACACATTCTATATAAAAATAAATTGACAATCCAACTTTTATAAAAACATTGGACAATTAATTTACCAATTTCTACCCCTAACTTTTCATCATCAAAAACTTTGTGTTGTTTGGAACTCTCTACTTTTACACTTTTTATTTTATCTCTAAAACAAAAAAAGACCAAAAATATTTTACAACTTCTTTTGTAAACTTTTGTTTAAATTAAATTAACTCACGTCTCCCTGAGGTTCGACACCCTACTTACAAGGGTTTATTTTTAGTTGTTATTTTTGCCCGTTCTATACTGCAAATCAACGGGGTACATCAACTTTCTTACAAGTTGATCTTGCAAGTCCTATTGTTTGGATCTTGCAAATGTTGAAGAAGCTTGACCTTCGAAGGAACAACAAAGCCAGCACGTGTGCAGTAGCAACATTGGCATTGCGAAGATATACCGTGCAGAAATTCACACAAGTGTAATTGTTGGTTCATTATTCAACAACCAACTACATAGTGGATTTTGAGGAAGTAGAAGGATTACCCCACCTTCGAACCTAGTTAAAGTTTGCGTGTCTCTCTCTTTTATCTTTACTCATACTTGCAATTATATTAACTGTGAAACTAACCTATCCATATTGATTACTGCTCTTATAACCCACCAACTTCCGCACACAATCTAAAGTTCACAAGAACTCTAGATTAACACTCATTTTCACGTTTTCAAAAGAAACGAAAAAGTTTTTAAATTGTAATAAAGTCTATTCACCCCCCCCCCCTCTAGACTTTATATCTCACCACTTTGGGACCACCAATTGGTATCAGAGCTTACTTCTCACTATCTACATTTAGATTAACGAGAAGCGATCATAATGGTGAACAATATGGATCACGGTTTGCCCAAGTTTTCTCTTCTAGGTTATGATGATTGGAAGATCATGATGGAAGCACACCTCTATGCTCTACATGACTGGATGTGGATGGTACTTGAAGATGGACCCTTGAAAATCCAAATGGAGAATCCTAAGAGGAATCCAACCAATTCAGATGTAGTCCAGTATATTCCAAAGCCCAAGGAGAAATGGGATGATAGAGATTGCAAAAAGCACAATCTGGACAACGTCGCCAAAGCATCCATCTTCAAGACACTTGATCCCATCACTTTTTCCAAAATTAAGCATCTCAAGACTGCCAACGAGATATGGAAAAGTCTTGGATAGCTGTGTGAGGGATCAGAGGATCTGAGAAAGCAGAAGATAGAGGTCCTGCTTGAAAAGTTCAAAAGCTTCAAAATGCTTCCCAGAGAATCATTTGATATGTTGGATGAAAGATTCCACAAAATCTTAAATGATCTTGCATCACTTAACCACGTTCTTTCTCCCAAAGAAAAGAATGTAAGGTTATTGAGGTCTCTTCCAACTGAGTGGTACACCAAAGCCACAGCCATGGAAGAAGGAAGAAATCTGGAGAACTACACTGTCCAATGTCTCCTTGATGAGCTCAGAACCTATGAGCATGAGCTGAAGAAGAAGAAGGAAGAACAGGTCACTCCATTTCCCATGGCACTGATGACAACTCCCAGAGTCCCAACAAGCGAAGGGACATGCCCAAGAAACTGTGACACTCCTTCCTCCAGCCAGCCATCAAGCTCGAAAATGGAGAACTACGATGAGGAATTTGCCATGATGGTCAAGCAATTCCGAAAGCTCAAGAAGTTCTTCAAGAAAGCTGACTCAGTCAGAAGGCCATCCAAGGGAAAGCCACAGGTAAGTGACTCCCCTCCTGAATCTTATTTGTGTTACAACTGCAGGAAGCCTTGCCACTGGAAGTCAGCATGCCCGTACCCAAAAGTGGAGAAGTACGGAGAAAGAGAAAGAAACGAGAAGAAGAAGAAGAAGGCAATGGTAGCAGCTGAAAGTGACGAGTCATCCAGTTCAAGCTCGGATGAAGAAGCCCTCGTCTGCATGGAGCGCAGAGCTGAGAAGTCCAACCAAGAAGATCGGTGGACTATGTCAGAAGATGACACTCTCTTCCTAATGGCCAAAGATGATGCTGAACAAGAGGTAACATCACAAACCTCCTACTCATCTTCTTATGAAATCATACCAACTTCTGAAAATCTTTTTGACAAGTTCAAAAAGATGATGGAAGATTTTGAGGAAATAAATCTTAAACACTCATCCTTAACAGAAGAGAACAAGCTATTAAGTGAAGAGAATCTCAAGTTGACTGAAGGTCGGAAAAGTCAACTAAGTGAGATCACTCAACTCAAGGCTGAGAATGAATCTCTTTCTGAAAAGGTAAAATCCCTAAACAAGGAGCTAGGGATACTGAAGTCCAAAGAAGTTGTGGATAAGCTTCTTGAAACGACCAAACATAAGGGTCGTGAAGGACTTGGGTTTGACCCCTCTACTGCCAAACCCAATAAGCAGAAAGGTAAGGAGAAGGAGAAACCTAAAGAAGTTCCCAAAAAGGTAGTCCCTCCTAAGAACTTTAGGAAGCTGGACACACCTCAAAGAGGAAACAATTTCAGAAGAAAACCTTCTAACCCCTACTATACACGAGGCTATACTTATTATGGGGTAGATAGGAGTTTTCCAAGAAATTCTGAGTGGAGAACTATGCCAAGATATAGTCATCCTCCACCCCAGAAACTATTTGTTCCACCTAAGTATGCTTACAACCGTCACAGACCACACTATGCACAACCTAGACAAAACTATAGGTCTTATCAACCTAGGTTTGCTAGGAGGAAACAGGAAATAGCACCACCTGCACGTAGGAAGTTTTATGCCTACAACTATGATTACAATCCCAACAAGTTTAGAGCTGCAAGGAAAATTCCCTGCAACTTCAAACTTGATGTAGGGACACACACCATTAACTATTCTGGACCCAAACTGAATTGGGTACCAAAATCTTCCTCCTCCTAATGCAGGAAGCCTCTAAGTACCCAGGTGTCGGGTACTTAGACAGTGGCTGCTCAAGACACATGACGGGTGATGCGAGCCTTTTGAGCAATCTAATTCCCTATGATGGTCCAAGAGTTACTTTTGGAGGAAGCAATGATTATGGCCTTACAAAAGGGCTAGGAAATCTGGTGTACAAGGGACTAACCATCCAGGCTGTATCTTATGTGGAAGGTCTCAACTATAACCTTTTAAGCATAAGTCAGTTTTGTGATAAAGGTTATTCTCTGGAATTCTGCAAGGACATGGCATCCCTCAAGAACATCTCCACAAATGAAGTCATTCTCACTGGGAAGAGAATCAGAAACATCTACGAAGTGATATGGGACGATGTCAAAGAAGCATGCCTAATCAGCAAAGGTGATACTAACCTTCTATGGCTTTGGCATAAGAGGTTGAGTCATCTCAACTTCAAAACCCTCAACAAACTGTCCAAAGAAGGGTTAGTAGAAGGTCTTCCCAAAGCTGGGTACGAACATTCTAGTCACTAAATATATCTACAGGCTTACCTCGAAGCTTAACGGAGGTTTTGGAAATTTTTTGGCGAAACTTCCGGCGATGAATACTCCCAACTCCGGCGACTTCGGTGGCAACCAACAACACCAGACTGCTCTCCTTACTCTTATGAACACAATGGTATATATTTCCAGAAAAAATTAGTGAAGAATTGGTAAGGATTGAGTATCCTTATATAGGAGAAGAGAAGAGGAAGAGGACAGTGCTGAGTCATTGCTGCGTCCCTTAATCGTGTAGTGGAGGTGTATGCGCCGATCGGATATTTTCACGACATTTCCCTGATTGGGACTAATTTAGGTCCCAATCGGGGTAAACTTTTTGGTCCAACTTTCTCCGAATTGAATTTCGTTTGTACCATTGCGATCAAACAGTTAAACTCTATTATATGATATAATTTTTATAATTATTTTAAATACTTTTTCCGACATCATATTTTTGGGTGTTTGACTTTGACAGAGTCAAAATTGGTTTAATTGACCTTTACTCAAAAAGGTTCTTACATTCCATTCATATTATTTATTTTCATGATATATTTCAATAAATCATTTCAAAGTTTACATCATAAACAATTTTATTCATTTATTCTTAACTTTGGTCTGTACACAGGTTCCCAACCAAGATCACACAATTAGTTAACATTTTGGATTTATCTCTATGAGACTTATCCTGATTGTAATATTGGATATCAAAACACAATTTATTTCGGCCCACAGCCCAACAACAATTTATTTTAATCAGAACAAATTTGACTAATTGAATATTTATTCATTAAAAATTTTAGGGTATGTTTTGGGGCGTTACATATCAAGACGTCGCCTAGGCGTCTGGGCGAGGCTTTGTGGAAGCCTAGTTGGCCGCCTAGCTTTTTTCCCTGGGCGACTCAGTGACTATCTCGGAGACGCATCTACGTTTTAGAAACGCAAGGGAACGCGCGTGATAGAGAGAGTAGACGATAGAAGAGATAGAATGAAGACTTATTATCTTTCTCGCAGATCTTCCAGCGGCTCCAGTCTCTATGTCTTTTTATCTCTCTATATCATTTAGGCTTGTGGACTAGGTCAAATAACTGGCCTAGGTTCATTAAAAGACTATTGGAGCTTTACACAAGAGTACAAGGCCCAAAATTTAATATGCCTTTTAAAAGCTCCCTTTATTGGAGCAGTCATATATATATATATATATATATATATATATATATATATATATATATATATATATATATTATCTCTTCCAAAGAGTTCAAGGGAAATACCTTCAGTTATTTCCCTAATATTTTATCTCTCCCAAAGAATTCAAGGGGAGCCATAAATTGTGATGTAACAATTACTTTTATCCGCTTTAAATAAAAACTGGTTGGGCAATTTTTTTATTCAGCGTTTTGGCTTTAGATGTTCATCTTTTTATTGTAATTCTTGTCCTTTTGGCCCCTGATGGGCCACACCTCCTTTTGTATTTTCCTTTTGTTTTAATAAAAATAAAAATCTCTCCCTTCATTTAATATATATATATATATATATATTCATTTTAATTAATTATTTCATATTATATGCTTTAACATTAGTACCTATAAAATTCTTATGGTCGCCCTAACCCACTCGCCCAGCGAACGCCTAGGCTGGCGCCTAATGGCCTTGGCAATTGGAAGGTGCTCTAGCGCCCAGCCTCGCCTAGCCACCGTAACAACTATGGTATTTCCTAAAAAGTAATCACTCATGTCTTCGGAATGGCCATTTTCTTATAGGGCCATTTTTGGAGGCGGATCGAGGGATTAACTGATCAGGTTGGCACAGTCAGATTCCACGAGTTTGATTGACGGACACAATGCTAGGCAAGGGCACGCATATAGCCATCCCGCTGTACTACTCCGCCATCTTTGGGACTTAATGACGGAGCGAGAATCAGCTAAATTGTTTGACAACATTAATAAGGGCGAGATTGGTGCCTATTAACGGTTAAGCCAGCGAGCAGCCGGTCAAGGGGCTATTTCTTTATGTAGATACAAATTTAAGTTAGGTCTACACCCGAGGAAGGGCTGAAAAGGGTCCAACCCCTCAATATAAACAACACATAAAGGCACCCCAAAATAACCGGAAGAAACAAACCAAGCTAATTACTATGACTTTCTCAGAAGCAACCTACAACAGTGGAGCCACAATGATAGTGTGCAGCTGAAACGATGCAGCCGGTACAGATTTTCAAAATAGTCAAAATGCTCATCAAGGTCATCAGGCAGGGTGGGAGTCTCATCATCTTCCACGTGGTCGGTGTGCTATTCATCATCACCTTCCCCGTCATCATCGTCATTATCATCTACATCCATGTCATCATCATATTTTCCTTCCCCAATAGTGGGTGTCGCAGTCGTTCCTCATCGGCGCCATAATAGTGCAGATCACTCATAAACCATGAGTTATGGGACATCTTGCGGTCATCAAATGCCTCCATTCGTCAGTAAGAGGCTAAGTAGAAATAGATTATTTAGAATGGGCATCTGCGTGATGACATCGTCAGCGATCTGAAGGTTGAGGATTCTGGCGTGGGGTTCCCGGTGGACAATCACATAGTGCAGCATCACCCTGAATTTCATCCATCTCCTCTCTATGTGATTGATGATGGCGCCTTCAGTAAAATGATACACAGCACTCGTGAACTGCAACCATCATGACCATAGAACATGTGGAATCCCTGGCCCGATCGGATCCAGATTCTCTGGATACGCCCCTCTCACCCTAGAGGCNAGTAAGAGGCTAAGTAGAAATAGATTATTTAGAATGGGCATCTGCGTGATGACATCGTCAGCGATCTGAAGGTTGAGGATTCTGGCGTGGGGTTCCCGGTGGACAATCACATAGTGCAGCATCACCCTGAATTTCATCCATCTCCTCTCTATGTGATTGATGATGGCGCCTTCAGTAAAATGATACACAGCACTCGTGAACTGCAACCATCATGACCATAGAACATGTGGAATCCCTGGCCCGATCGGATCCAGATTCTCTGGATACGCCCCTCTCACCCTAGAGGCCAAAGAGGAGTATCCATCTCTTCTTCCCTGCGACAATAGAAATCTGGCCAGTACGACGAGTTCGCCGTTCACCTGCTGATAGATCGGTATCCACATTATCTCATTCTCCTCCTCCTCCACCATGCCTTCTTCTTCTTCTTCAACGGGCTCTCCTTTTTATCGCCCGTCGCTATTGTGAAGAAGGGTAAAGAAGAAGAAGAAGTAGCGTCTTCCCATGTCATCACGACTTCATCCCATCCTGTCAGTTCTTCACCGAACTCCACATCCTCGTGGAGCAAGTGATCTGAAGCTCTTCCATCGCCGGTAAACACCGTGCGCCTCATTAGGAGGTCGGAGGTGGAGTTCCTCTGCATACAATTGACCAGATCTGAATGTTGCGCTTTCGTAAGATATGGCATCTCAGTAATCTAGAAATCACAAATCGTGCAGAGATGACTTTCGCCGCCGGCGAGATTCTCGCGGCCGGCGGCCAACCTATTGCAGAGACAGAGACGATAAAGAGAAGCTGGGAGAGAATGGGGAGTTTTTGCAGAGCCATGGTGGTTTGGGCGAGAGAAGTTAGATGCCTGCAATTTGGTGTTGTTTGATTTGGGCGGATGTGATTTAGGTTATATACCGAGATTGACCACACCGGGCAGTCTATTGGAGGTCATTTTGGCCGGGCCAGATTGCTTGGGGTGGTGACGCGTGATGTAACTGATTCCCTCCCCTTCCTAAAATTTTAAAAATTCCCGCTCTGTTTTTATTTTGATTTTATGAAATAATTCAAATTAAAAGAGAATAAGACTAAAGTCAAAGGCAAACATAAACAAAATTGAAAATAGCAAAACACCTCCGAGGAAATTGATAAATGTTAGTTGCACAAAATTTACAAAAAACCACTTTAAAATCAATACCAAAAAACATCCAAGGGGTTTTTTGTCAATTTCGTGCAAAAAACATTTATCAATTCCCTAAGATGTTTTTTTTGGTATTTTCAATTTTTTTATGTTTGACTGTGACTTTAATCTTATTCTCTTTTAATTTGGAATTATTTCATAAAATCAAAATGGAACAGGGCGGGAATTTTTAAAATTCAGGAAGGAGAGGGAATCAGTTACTCCACGCATCACCACCCCCGAGCAATGTGGCCCGGTTAGAATAACCTCCAACGGACTTCCTAGTGTGGTCACTCTCGGTATATAACCCCAAATCACATTGCCCCAATTCAATCAACACCAAATCGCAGCATCTTATTTCTCTCGCCCAAACCACCATGGCTCTGCAAAAACTTCCAATTCTCTCCCTACTTCTTTTCATCGTCTCTGTCTCTGCGATAGGGTTGGCCACAGGCCGCGAGAGCCATCTCTGTGCGGGTTGTGATTCTTGGGTTACAGAGGTGCCATATCTTACAAAAACACAACATTCAAATCTGGTCAACTGTATGTAGAGGAATTCCTCCGACCTCCTCCTGATGAGGCGCGCGGTATGGAAGAGCTCTTGATCACTCGCTCTATGAGGATGTGGAGTTTGGTGAAGAACTGACAGGATGGGAGGAAGTCGTGATAACAGGGAAGACGTTGCTGCTTGTTTTTCTTCACCCTTCTTCACCATAGCAGCGGGCGGTAGAGAAGAAGGCGAGCCGGTTGAAGAAGAAGAAGGCATGGAGGAGGAGATAATGTGGATACCGATCTATGAGTAGGTGAACGGCGAACTCATCGAACTGGCCAGATATCTATTGCCGCGGGGAAGAAGAGATGGATACTCCTCTTTGGCCTCTAGAGTAAGGAGGCGTATGCAGCGAATTAGGATCCGATCGGGCCAGGGATTCCACATGTTCTATGGTCATGATGGTTGCAGTTCACGAGTGCTGTGTATCATTTTACTGAAGGCGCCATCATCAATCACATAGAGAGGAGATGGATGAAATTCAGGGTGATGCTGCACTATGTGATTGTCCACCGGGAACCCCACGCCAGAATCCTCAACCTTCAGATCGCTGACGATGTCATCACGTAGATGCCCATTCCAACCAATCGAATCTTATCTCCGCCTTTTGTGGTACAAATCATCCATTTCTACTCAGCCTCTTACCGACAAGTGGAGCCATTTGAGAGGAGGTAAATTGGACTTTAATCGCAGATTGGTGCCAAAGATTGGCGTCTGCACTTGGTACTTGCAGAGACCCTATGCTTAGCGTAGTAGCCTTCTAGCGCAATTGCCAGGAATCGAACTCGAACTCGGCCTTACTCTTTGGCACTCACCGACATCAATTCAAATTAAGCATACGGGAGAATATACGCAAGAGAAATCCGCAAAACAAGAAATACTCCCGACGACGGTCCCTCCCTTCCTTTCACCGTCGGCCATGCGCGTCCCCATTTTTTTCCCCGGCTGC